TGGCTAACCTAACTATGCCCGATCAGCCCGCATCTTGTTTAATGGCAGCAGTCGCTATGACAGTTCAGTGCACTGTCAACACGGACTTCCCGTTAAAGAGAGGCTGGTCACCTGCCTAAGGTACACGGAGCCAGGCGATCGGTCTATATACTAGTGTTGCTCTGACTGGCACGATCCGCGCGCACGTGCAGTCGGTGACAGGGAATTGACACGCACGTCGGTGTCGGTGCGTCGCTTTGGGTGCCAAGCGAACGTCAAGAATCCCATCACAAAATCGCCCTGCGCTGCGTCAGTGACTCGGCATTTTTTTCAATATATGAGTTACCACCCAATCAGGCACGTATAGTAATGTGAGGGGCTCTTACGTCTCGTCCCCGTGCCTATCACCGCAAAGTTTGAATTTATCCCCAACTCCCGAATGGTGGGACTACGAGCGCTGCTGTCAGCCACGCTTGGCGCTCCTCTTTGCAATCTTGTTACATATCCGAATTTGACTCTAAGCGTCCCGTCCAGAGCGCCCGCCGGCGCCAACGTTGTGCAGGACAACTTTCTAGGCATCTCGATAGAGTTGAACATAGTAAACACGCTGAGTGAGTTTTCGTGAGAACCATACAGAGTCAAAGCCTTTATTGGTTCGGGCCTTTTGCATGTCTTTTATTTGGCGAATTTCCCTACCAGTTGGAGAGTCGCCCGAGTCGATACCAACGCCAGTCATCAACCTTCTTTCAGCCTTGTCATGGCGCGTTACACAACCGCTACGGCTGCGAGTTGGAGGGAACAGCGTAGATGCAGGCTCCAAATATGACCCTAGGGCGAAGACAATGATCAACTTTAACCTCAATTCTACGATCCGGGATTTACCTGATTTACCAGTGACTTATGGACCTCAACTCCTGACAACCCTGAAGGTCTTGCTATCTGACAACGGTTCCGATCTTATAATTGATCATGATTTGTTAGAAACTGGGTGATGCAGTGGGCGGCAGTACGCATGTACTTGGGTTGTCCCTCCGTACCCCCGAGAATGTCACGGACGTCATTCAATTCGTCTATGATTCTCAGCATGTCTTAGGAGATTCCTTGATAACGCTGCAGCTGGGTAACGTAAGTCCATCAGACCGCAATTCATGGTATCGGAGTTTACTCTTGAGGGTTCCAGGAGCCAGATATGTTTATTATTCATGGTTATCGTCCCGGGAATTATACCAGGCAGCAATATGTGAGGAGCATTTTAATTCCCCTTGTCAACAGCTTCTAACTCCTAACCCCCGTCAGTACGACGAATTTGGCACAGTAACAAGCCAACTCCAATCCTCGTCTTTTGGGGATCTTGTCCCCAAGCCGACTCTCGGTGCACCGTCCTTCTGCTGCTTTTGGTATGCCCTTCCGCGGGTCCTTTTCTGGCATACTGAATGCAACGTCACCGCAAAGGAACCTGAATGACTCGTTCCGAGAAGGCTTCATAGCTCGGAATAATGAAGTTCTCAACTATGTCATGTGCGCACATATACCTTCATCATCGTGATAGTTGACGAATGCGGATTATGCGCTTCACTCCAGGTACCAGCATTATCCAGAAACATCATGTGTTCCTGGCACATGGAATCTCTCATACTTTCTTGATCATACCAACGGTAATTCCAGTTCACTCCATTTCCTTCCATGATGCTCATGCCGCCATTGTTTATAGTGGTTCAGCTTGCTCGAATACAAGCACCTGGGGTATCCCTAGCGAGGGCTGCGGGAAAGCCCGTCATTCTCTTGGAGTTCAACTCCGTGTCATGCGGTGGGAAGCGAGGACAATCAGACACAGCAAGTGTTTCCTCGTGCTTGTACATGTGTACAAGGTACTAACGTCTTGGTACGTAGTTTGGCGTTGCGATGTGGACTATAGATTATGTCCTATCACTTGCAGTCAACAATTGGACAGCGGCATACATCCACACCCGAGAAGCGGGGATCTCGTACAACTTAATCAATCCCCCTAACCCCCGTAATTCGGCTTGGAGCGTTGGTCCTCAGTATTATTCCTTGTTATTCCTCGCAGAGGCGTTGCAAGGTGTGCCTGGAGATCATTCGGGCTCAGTCATCGTCGCGGACCTAAATCTTCCCACTACCACTACCGCGTCTCTCGCTGGATACGCCATATACGATAAAAAGGGCGAAATTCTTCAGCGGATTGTCCTTATCAACTATGGGGACGTACGAACTACAGATTGCTCCGCGAGGCCTGCGCTTACATTTACTGTGCCTTCTAGCATTCCTCGTACTGCTAACAACAGAACCCTTAGCACGAAATATTTTGCAGCGAGATGTGTGACAGAATCAAATGTTTTTACCTGGGGTGGGCAAGCCGTTGATAGTGATGGTATGCTGTCGTTGGGATTACCTGCGCCGAACGAGAGCGTGATAGTCTGCTCGCAGGGATGCGAAGTATTAGTCCCTAGTCCAGGCGTCGTGCTGTTAAACTTAGACGTGGGCTCGCTACCATTGCGGGGCTCTCCTGCAGGGGACACAAGTGCGAGCGTGGCGAGCCCCACCCAGACTATGTATACTGCGACCACAAGCAGAAATGAGGCTCCAATGAAGCTGCAGCCATTTGGCATCCATTTGGCTGTTGCACTTTTGTCGTCGGGGATTTTATCGTTACATGTCGTTTACGATGTTTTGGTTGCATGACTATTGGAGTTCATCTCAACAAGGGAATCAAGGGGAGATAACGTGTTATTGAAATCTGACATACTAAACAGAACCAAGTGCTGTTTGATTCCATCTGTACAAAGCGGTAGCATTCAGCTCAGAGTTTGAGTCGATGGGGACGTCACTTCCCGTAGTGGTCAGAGTTGGATGATTGAGCAGTTCTCGAGCCATGGTCCGATTGCATGCGATGTGTGGGACCAGCAAGCTGGTAAGTGATTCCGAAAGACTTTCCACCAAAGGTACACTCAGGGTGCAATGAATCAACCGCAGTGGCTAACGACAATTAACTGTATTTGTTTTCCATGCATGGAGCCTGTGGTTTGTGGATTGAATCAATATTTGCGTATTCGAAGCCAAGGATCCCGAGATTTTACCCTGGTATGAGACACGCTGCACTAGTTTCCGCATGATCTGTTTGAGAAAGATGCCTCCCGAGTTGCCGTGGAATGCCATCAAAGTAGTAATAGGGATTTTGACAGTGTTAGTGGAATCCTTATAGTTATGAAAAGGAGCACGGACTTAGCTGGGTAACGTAGTGTCGGTAGAACCAACTTTCCTAATTTGGTATACTTGACAACCGACAACGCGATTCCAATAAATGGCGGTGTCATGGCTATATATGATGTCTGGTTGCACCTTCCCAGTTTCCAAGCCGATCTTCTTGCATAATAATTGTATCTTCTAATCAGTCGCATGACATGCTGGGACATAGCGTTGTCGTGGTTAGTCTTCTCGGTGTTTTTGGTGTCCTTGCCTCACGATTGGGGCTGAAGCTTAATTGCTACATGCGACCCATCCCACAACATCTCTCAGTTCACGACAGTCAGTCAGTATGCGAGGAAGGCTGGGATCAATGTCAGAGCAACATAGTAGATCACGCGTACGCAGTGTAGGACAAAGGCCTAGGCCTAGGGTCAACACCGAGTCGGATATATCCCTGTCAACGATACGCTTGGTACATTTGAATACTGGGCCACGGCGGTAGGAAGGGCCTCATATCAGACAAAAGTGATAAGATAAAAATAAACGCTACTTGTGGAACGTAGTAGTGTAAGCGCAACAGAGAAACGGGCAAAGGGCCATGAGCCGGGTTTGTCCCGTTTGATGGGAATTCATATGGCCGTGTAATGTATTGGTGATGGGGTATGAATGTGCTTACTTAAACGGGTTGTCAAACGGAGTGGCGCCGTCACTTCCGCCATTCAAAGCCTCAGGTATTAGACGCTACACGGCAGTGCTGGCTCCGATCCTGACCTCTAAGCATGACGGAGCAACACCCGATGTTGTAAACGGCGTTTCGGATAAGGCAACCCGGTTCCCAGCGGCTCACTCGTAGCACAGATGTAAGATAGAAGCAGAAATATAACTGGTGATTTGGGGTTAATGTCCGTGCGTATATATATATATATATATATACAAAGGAATGAATAAAGAGGAAAATCTATGAGGCAACTCCTGTGCAGGCTGCGCGCTTAGTAAAACCCCTCCACATGCCGCCCGGATATCTCCGGTGACTCGCATTTCCAACACCTGAATTTCCTGAGGGTGTTGCTGGATACTGCAAATGAGCTGAACGGGGTTTTTAGTGGTAAATAGGCCCCTGGATTGCTCCGGACAGGGATGAGCATAAACATGGCAGGGAACCATCAGAATTAAAATTATTCATTTGATTTTTGTGCTAGTTCCAAGATACCTAACACCTGTTATGTCACACGGCTGCAGCACATGCATTAATAATTCCGACACATCCAGACACTGCCATCCTTTCATTGGGGGTCTAAATTGGTGTATATGGTGCACCAACAATGTTATAGCTGATATTGAGGTGAAACAGGGTCATGGTATCCCACAGTTGTACTGAACTCGAGATGAGCGCCAGGCGGCTAATGCAATACACTAACGTTATCTATCAGTAGGGCTCAAATAGCTATGGTGCACTGAGAAAGGGTCTGTATACAGTCTAATGCACAGTTACGTCGGGTCTAGTGGCCTCAATCGGCAGGTGTTTCATGGAGGGGAATTGGGGCCACAATTGGCAATTGGAAGCCCGTTCGTTCAGTAAACTCAGAATCAATTTTCATAGCGATAAGACTGAATTAAATTTGGCAAGATATAAGTAGTACAGGTAGAGGGCGTCGAGCGATGCACGCATTCATGACCTTAACTAAGCGCCCGTTCTCATAGATGAGAGTGGTCAATATTTAGTGCCCTTGGTTCACTGTTGCTCAGATCAGTTATTGATATTATACAGGATATAATATCAATAGCTGATATGCCTCCCGGCGGCTCGTTCATCCAACAACCAGCCAATCTGGTACATAATGTGAGGGGCCTCAGCCATCGCCGCACAATCTGAACTTGTCCCAGCTCCCAAATGGTGGGACTACGAACGCTGCTGCCAGCTACGCTTGGCACCCCTCTGCTCAATCTTGCTACATATACGAATTTGACTCTAAGCGTCCCTGCCAGAGCACCCGCCGGCGCCAGCGCTGTGCAGGGCAACTTTTTAGGCATCTCGATCGAGTTGAACATAGTAAACACACTGAGTGAGTTTTCGTGAGATCCAGATCCCCATACAGAGTCAAGGCCCTCATTGGTTCGGGCCTTTCGCATGTTTGTTATTTGGCGGATTTCCTAGTTGGAGAGTCGCCCGAGTCGATACCAAAGCCAGTCATCAACCTTCTTTCAGCCTTGTCGTCGCGCACCGCGCAACCGCTACGGTTACGAATCGGAGGGAACAGCGTAGATGCAGGCTCCAAATATGACCCTAATGCGAAGAAAATGATCAACTTTAACCTCAATTCCACATTCAAGGCTGTACCTAATTTACCAGTGACCTATGGACCTCAGCTCCTGACAACCCTGAAGGTCTTGCTATTTGACAGCAGTTCTAATCTTATAATTGATCACGACTTGTCAGAAACTGGGCGATGTAGTGAACGGCAGTACGAATGTACTTGGGTTGTCCCTCAGTACCCCCAAGAATGTCGCGGACATCATTAAATTCGTCTATGATTCTCAGCAAGTCTTAGGAGACTCCTTGTTATCGCTGCAGCTGGGTAACGTAAGTCCATCAGACCGTGATTCATGGTATCGAGTTTACTCTTGAGGGTTTCAGGAGCCAGATTCGTTCCCTTCCCACGGTTATCGTCCCGAGAATTATACCAGGCAGCAATATGTGAGGGACTTTTGATTTCCCTCGTCAACAGGTTCTGACTCCTGGGCCTTGTCAGTACGATGACTTTCGCACAGTAACAAGCCAATTCCAATCCTCGTCTTTTGGGAATCTTGTCTCCAAGCCGATTCTCGGTGCACCGTCCTTCTGCTGCTCTTGGTATGCTCTTCCGCGCGTCCATTTCCCAGGTTTGGCATACTGAATGCTACGTCACCGCAAAGGAACCTGGATGAATTGGTCCGAGAAGGCTTCATAGCTCAGAATGGTGGCGTTCTCAACTATGTCCTGTGCGTACATATTCCTTCATCATTGTGATAGTTGACGAATGCGGATTATGCGCTTCACTCCAGGTACCAGCATTATCCGAAGTCGTCATGTGTTCCTAACACATGGGATTTCTCGTACTTTCTCGAGCATACCAACGGTGATTTCGGTTCACTCCACTTCCTTCCATGATGCTCACTCCGTAATTGTTCATAGTGGTTCAGTTTGCTCAAATACAAGCGCCTGGGATAGCTCTAGCTCGGGCTGCAGGCAAACCTGTCATTCTCTCGGAGTTCAACTCCGTGTCATGCGGTGGGAAGCGAGGACAATCAGACACAGCAAGTGTTTCCTCGTGCTGTACATGTGTACAAGGTACTAACGTCTTGGTACGTAGTTTGGCGTTGCGATGTGGACTATAGATTTTGTCCTATCACTTGCAATCAACAATGTGACAGCGGCATACATCCACACCCGAGAAGTGGGGATCTCGTACAATTTAATCAATCCCCCCAACCCCCGCAATCCAGCTTGGAGCGTTGGCCCTCAGTATTATTCCATGTTATTCCTTGCAGAGGCGTTGAAAGGCGTGCCTGGAGACCCTTCGGGCTCAGTCATCGTCGCGGACCTAAACCTTCCCACTTCCACCACCGCGTCTCTCGCTGGATACGCCATATACGATCAGAAGGGTGAAATTCTTCAGCGGATTGTCCTTATCAACTATGGGGATATACGGACTACAGATTGCTCCGCGAGGCCGGCGTTTACATTTACTGTGCCTCCTAGCATTCTTCCTGCTTCTAACAACAGAACCCTTAGCACGAAATATTTTACAGGGGGATGTGTGACAGAGACAAATGCCAGTGTTCTTACTTGGGGTGGGCAAGCTGTTGGTGGTGATGGCATGTTGTCGTTGGGATTACCTGCGCCGAACGAGAGCGTGATAGCTTGCTCGCAAGGATGCGAAGTATCAGTCCCTAGTCCAAGCGTCGTGCTGATAAACCTAGACGGGAGCCATTGAAGGGCTCTCTTGCAGGGGACACAAGGGCGAGCGTGGCGAGTCCCACCTAGATGATCTATGCTGCGGCCACAAGCAGAAACGAAGGCTTCAATGAAGCTGTAACCATTTAGCATTCATTTGGCTCCTGCACTTTTGTCGTCAGGGATTTTATCATTACATATCGTTTATGATGTTTTGGTCGCATGATTATTGTTCGACTCAACAAATTAAAGGAATTATGGGGAGAGAACGTGTTATTGAAATCTGGCATACTAAGTGCTGTTTGATTCCGTCTGTACAAAGCTGGACGACTGAGCAGTGATCGAGCCGTGATTCGATCGCGTGCAGATGTATGGGACACTTCCCAAGGAGGCGGGGGATACCACCAAACATACACTCAGGTGCAATGAATCGAGGAAAGGAGAGAAGGGTGGAATTGGGGAAATTTCATTGGGAAATCAAGATAGCGGCGGTTTGATTAAAAGACTGTCATCATTGAAATGATACACACTATACTGGCCCATCATGATTGTCGTCCTGAGCTACCCGCTATGGTTAGCAGTCTTGTACTGACTACGACATGTAATGTAAAAGGCTCCCAACCTCGTGCTCATCCTTGCGCATTGGGCGATGCATCATGTATGACCCAGGCGAAGGAATATCACCCGGTCGGAGATAGGGAATGACCATGTTTTGGTTGCCTCCAATAGTCATATAGGAATCATAGAATCTTATAATTTCTCCCAGTCGAGTTCGCAGAGGATGAGCAATTTCCTCAGGCCCCATGTGCAGCGTGTGATCGATAAAAAGAGGGGTCATATGGAATGTGGTACGAGGGATGACGGGGACCTGCCCAGGAACCGAACCATCCGAGGGCTTATGCATATCATTCATACTTTTTAAAGGTCGAAGTTGACGCGAGGCAACATTTGATGCCTGGGAAGGGATTTGATGGAGTATAGGGACTTGCTGGGGAGGAGGAACGATGGGGGTGACAGGAGCCGGAGTATAAGGACGAGATATGGCCTTTCGCCTGGAAGAACTTTTCAACGGGGGAGCGGGCTGGCAAACCTCATTCGGAACTGTTGGAGTTACACAGTCCAAGCTCAATTCTGAGTTGAACAGACGAGCGTCGGGTTTGTATGCCCGAATTCTGGCTGGGGGGTCACGAGTATCAGAAAGGGCTCTGAGTGCGTCATTGGATCTTTCAGGGGACTGAGCGAATGCCTGGTGCAAGCTAGGTCTGGAATAGCTGAAGGCTAACTCTTCAGTTTCCTCAGACAACCGTGCAACGTTTTCGCCCGATCTCCGAAGCGGCGTGGCACCCCTCTGCGGGGCGACATCACAAGGGATGGCGGGGTTTCTAGGGGTGGCTACGGTCGGAGCAGGCCTGTCCACGTCCTCAACTGGGTTTTGGGCAGACCTTGGAGGTTGGAGAGCTAATGAGAGGCTCTTCAGAAGCCTCTGACAGTCTGCAGCCATCGCGTGGAAACACGAGGCATGCTCTTCGGGAAGTGGTGAACTTGTAGGATAGTCTTCAATAGCCTCAATCAGACGCGAAAACCCTCGAACCCATCTTGAACCACTGCACTTTTCCCACGCTTTGTTCACCGTCGGATCACTCATGCCTCGTCCCCCCGTGGCTTCGAGAAAGCGACTGTTGAAAGAGTTTCCAAAGGCTTTGGCCTTGCCCACGGTAACCTTAAGGATATCGTAAGATGAGTCGCATGGCAGTTGGGCTGCAATTGGTACTACCTCGGGTTCCGGACAAGTCGGGGCCTTGGAAATAGAAGGGGAGACAGGAGGCGCTGGAGTGGGTGAGCCTTCAGGAGAAGACTGCTCGTAAGCTTCCCATTCGGAGTCGGTGCTAGGAGTCCTTCTTCCGTCAGGAGGAGCGGATTCGGGAGCAACCTCCCAAAGGTCAAGGCTCTCTTTCGGAGAAGAAATCGGATCGCACTTGATGCTGGGGAAGGTGGGAGTGGAAGGCTGAGGTTGAGACACCCCTAAGCTCTTCGCGGTAGCCTTCGTCGTAGGGAATATGGAAAGATGCGCGGAGAGTGGTGTGGTCAGACTGGTGGTTGAATCTTTGGACGAGCGAGACAAAGCCAAGCTGGAGAAATGGGCGAATGCAGTACGAACAATCTACACAAAGGATGTTGGTCAGAAATATAGGAGGGTGACATCCGTCTCACAGTTCCGGTCGTTGCGTCGTGATCCCCGAACAGAGTGTTCATTATTTCTTTCTGCAGGTTCAAATATGCATCACGACACGGCAAAGAGTTCGACACTGAAAATATTACGTCCGCGTCGCACCCTTTGACGTTGTTTTGGCAAGTCACAACACTCAGGAACTCGTCGGCAGCCTTCTGAAGGTCCGGCGAAATAGGCGGTGCACAGACCTTCGTATTCGCCGTCTTGACACAAAGGGGAGCACTTCCGGATTTAGGACTCCCGCATAACGCATACTTCTGGAGTGGTTGTGGAACGATCAGGGACAAGCATTAAGGGTAGGAGATTAAGACTTACAGAGGAAAAATTTGGCCCTCGCTGAAGACAAGAATTACAAAGGACACTCATTTCGACAGAAGGGAAGGGGCCAGCGCGTGCCATTTGGTTCATGGAGTGGTTGAGCGCAGACAAACTTAAATACCTTTTTGAAGCAAGTTGCCACTCCCTGATTTGGTGGAAGCAGTAAATTGAGTCCCAAAGCGACGGAGTAAGGATTGGCGTTCATCACTGAGTGATATTTTTGGTAAGCTCGTGAATTCGTAAATTGTTTGAGATAAAGCAAAATTGCTCAGCATGTACTAGAGGGATGTGTGAATGTAATCGCACAAGATCATACATAGTACGCGCTCTTTCTATCTGCCGGTGTGGGAGAAGTGGAGGAATGTGGCGGTGACTCGGTGCCAAAGCGCTCTGCATGAATGAGTGGCGCAGCCACTAGAACTGGGTTTTTCGCTTTGGCAAGGGGTTTCCCAGTCCCGCGCTGTTTCTCTTCCCTTTCCATGACTAAAATGATTTTTCAATGGGATGGGCACTTCCTGGGGTCGCGTTGGGATCAGGACAACTCACCTTGTTCCCATTCACGCCATACCGCTTCATCCATTTTGTCTAATTCTTCCTTAGAAACCTTCCGGTCTCCAAAAAAGCTACTAAGGCTGGCGACTAGAGTTTCGCCGTAACTTGGGTCCGTGGGCTTGGTTGGCGACGCGCCTTGAGGCCCAGCTTCTGGCTTGCTTGCCAGAGCCATCAGCCTGGAATATTCGGAGGCATCTACACGCTCCCCAGCCTTCAAGCGACGGTGTATCCCACTCAGGATACTTTTCTGAGCAACAAGCTGTTGTTTCTCTTCGATTTGTTGCCGACGTTGATAGATGAAATGCGTAGAGATCGAACACAGGAACATGGCGCTTATAATAGGGTCTAAATTTCGATGGGCCCACATAGGGGATGACCAATGACCGAAGAGTAATTGGGGATGGGTAAATTTGCGCAAAGCCAAAAATTGTCTTGCCGTCTTTCCCACGACCACCTTGGGCGTTTGAATCGAACTGAGACTACAGGTCCCACAGGTCCCACACCTTCACCCACCTTGTGACATGGGCCAGTTGGAGCTCGTCAATGCCGGGGCCTGTGTCTGAGCAAGCGCTGATAATCTAACCAATTTTTTTGGGTGGGATTCCGTCGATACTCCACCGTGCGAAGAGGCTGCGTTCAAAACCAGTCACCGATCGTTCGATGCGACCCGTTTTGTCCTTTGCACAAATATTTGCTCTAATGGCTCGCAATCCGCATGGTTATGACAGAGTGTGAGGCTCGGCGCTACTGAAATTCTCACGAGGTTGCAGTGACCTACCGCAGTACCGTCCCTCTTGCTGGCACGTAATCGAAACTCGGCAGCTTGGATTTGATGCAAAGTGCGTTCCATCGTCTCCGAAAGATGGTTTCGATGCAAGCGAAAGCGTTTTATAGTCCTTCACGAGCGTCACTGCCGTGTTCATGAACAAGGGAATATTGAGACGCACATTATCCACCGCTTTAGCCGCTTTCTTTATATACTCTGGATACAGCTTCGAAACCTTATTCTGCTCCTTGGGACCTGGACGGTGTTCGAACGAAGTTGCCTAGTCTGCGATGGTGAAATGGGCCAACGGGTCGACCTAACTCTGCAATCCGTTTGTTCTCCACACACCACTTACGCCGCAGCTCCTGATCTGCGTTTGTGTGAATCTTGGGCATCACTACAGGAAACCCCACAAAGAGCTAACGAGGCCTATTCTTATGGAACAACAGAGCTTAATTAGGGACCTGGCCAACTGCTTTGTTCTTGGAAATCTAATTTGGTGCTGGCTTCCCGGTCCGAGACAGCGTTCTCCATTGAAGACTACAAATTGGATCTGATTTCGAAATTCACAAGGGACCTTAGCTCGCCTCGCGGAAGCTGCATGGGCAGTGAATCACGGTGCTGGTTATGCGCACCAAGGTCGCCACTCTATAAAGCTCATACGGTTCATGTTCAGCAGTAGGCAGGTTACCAGCCTCTATTAGTATAGAGTTCAGCAGCAGGCCAAGGGCAAAGGCAAAAGGAGAATGCCAGCGGCATTTCAACAATATTAAGTCAGACAAAGGAATGTTAGTGGAAAAAGCAAACTAATCTAACTAATAAATAATCGCCGAGGGTCATCTACGAGATCTGATTGGCTCGGTTTACCCCGAAGCCAGGTTTTGAACCGATTTGATTGGCTGCTCCATCTTACCTAATCGGTGCTGAGGGTCTCTAACTTGCTTGCGTCTCTGTTTCTTCTCTCCTCTCAGGCCTTTTATACGGCACGGTGTATCTGACGTCATCCTTTCACCCACACCGATCCGATTTGCTCACTTACATGCAGCGTATTACTCCGTTCACAACTCCGTCTGGTGATGTTCAGTGCATCACTGGTATCGTAGTCGATGACTGGTGAGTTAGCTCCCTGGTGCATTATATTCATTGTATATGCTGATAGCTGGATCAAAGTTGGCTCCCCTGGCTTTCTCTCATTTGCTCACTTGACCTTCGTCCTCCTATCATTGTACTGCTGCCTTCAGTTCGGTAGTGTTTTGTGTGTTTCTGGAAAGCGGAGGGTGTTGGCGACATGCTGCTATTACAGAGACATCAAACACTCTAACCACTCATGTTGTGCGAGGTGTAAAATTGCAATGGTGCATCGAAAGACTCATTTTCGACCAACATAGCGATTTCCAGATT